TAATTGGGATGGGAGTGTCAGAGACAGTGTGATTGGCACAGGACAGAATGGAGTTTAGGGCTGTTGTACATAGGGTCTCTATGAGTCGCAGGCGACTCGACGGCACATAACAACAACAACAACAACATAAAGGATATGATCAAAGCACAGACATTCTTCTGGTATTTCTTACTTTCAGCCAGGGTCCATCTAACATCAGCAATGATATCCCTAGTGCTACTACCTCTTTTAAATCCTGCTTGAACTTCTGGCAGTTCCCTATCTATGTAAAATGATCTCCAGCAGTATTTCATATGCATGTGATATCAGTGATATTGTTTGATAGTTTCCACATTCAGTTGGATCACCTTTCTTGGGAATGGGAACAAATTTGGACCTCTTCCCATCCATTGTCCAGACAGCTGTTCCCCACATTTCCTGGCATAGACTGGTGAGTGCATCTAAGGTTGTATCTGTCAATTGAACCAAGTCAATCAGCATATCATTGATTCCTAGGGCCTTCCCCCCCCCCCCAATGCCTTCAATGCAGCTTCTACTTGCTCCATTATTACCATTGGCTCCTGTTCATATGATATTGAGAAGAATGGAAATCCTAGAGCACTCAATTGTGCTCATGCAGAAACCCATACCTTGACCAGGAAGCTATTGTGCAAACGGAGCAGGGGAGTACTGCATGGTTTGGAATTGTGAAGGGAGTGCACCAAGGATGTTGTATTCTCTCTCCATACCTACTCAGTCTGTATGCTGGGCAAATTATCCAAGAAGCTGAACAATATGAGGAGGAGTGCGGCACCAGTATTGTAGGAAGATTCATCAATCACCTGTGTTATGCAGGTGACACAACCTTGCTTGTGAAAGTGAGTAGGACTTGAAGAATTTGTTGCAGAAGATCAAGGAATGCAGCCATCAGTAAGGATTACATTTCAATTTTAGGAAAACAACGAGTCTTACCACTAGACCAATAGGCAGTGTCATGATGGATGGAGGGGAGATTGAAACAGTCAACAACTTCATCGTGGTTGGATTCACAGTTAACACTCTTGGGTACCAGCAGTCAGGAAATAAGGAGAAGCTTTGCACTTGGAAAATATGTAGTTAAGAACCTCTCCAAACTATTGAGGAGTAATGATGTCAGTTTGAGGACTTAAGTACATCTAACCCAGGCTATGATGGTCTTTCTGCATACTTGATATGCATATGAGAGCTGGAGAATGAATAAGGATGACAGGAAAATAATTGACATCTTTGAGCTGTGATTTTGGAGAAGACCACTGAATATCTCATGCACAGCCAAGAGAACAAACAAATATGTCTTGGTGAAAGTGCAGCCGGAGTGCTCTTTAGAGGCAAGAATAATGAGGCTTCACCTCACAGACTTTGGGCTTGTTATTATGAGGGGCTAGTCCTTGGAGAGGGACATGATGCTGGGAAGGGTGGAGGGTCAGTGAAGAAGAGGAAGACCATAAACCAGGTGGATTGATGTGGTGACTGCTGCAATGGGCTCTTGTGTGTCAGAAAGTGTGAGGATGGCACAGGATAGAAGAGGGTTCTTTTGTTCATAGGGTTGCTATGAATAACACCCAACTCAACAGCACCTAACAACAACAACAACAACATAAAGGATAAGCTCTTCCCATTTGAAAGGATCATATCTAAAGCCTATCAAGATTCTGATGCCTCTACATATACAATCCAGTAGGCAAGATACAATCACACCTGTTAACTTTGACTTTTCTTGGACAGTATGTTATCCCAGTATTGAGACCAGGGTGTTCTGGAACCAGAAATGTGTATGATAAGCATGTGGAAGTGGAGAATGGGGAGAATTCTGAACACAGGTTATTGTTGTTGTTGTTATGTGCCGTCGAGTCGTTTGCGACTCATAGCGACCCTATGCACAACAGCCCTAAACCCTGCTCTATCCTGCACCAACCACACCGCCTCTGACACACCCATCCCGATTACCCCAGTCACCTAATCAATCCATCTCATAGAGGGTCTTCCCCTCCTGCACTGTCCCTCCACCCTCCC